GTACAATTCCTTATGGTCCATGTTTTATGAGAATCTGAGTGAGAATTTGGGATAAAGCCACGCTCATGAAAACTTATTAGGTTTGTATCAGGGGGAAGTAAACAGCAATAAATCCTGGGTTAGCCGGAGATGGCAGTGGATGTGATAAGAAGGACCGCCGCTGGAGAGGTCCCATGGGCTAAAGTTGGCTCAAGGACAGTTACTCAAGCACAAGAAGCAGAGCATTTGTTTAATACTCTATTGCAAACTTCTGTTTCATTAAACCTAAAATAAAATACAAAATTCAAATGATTGGATAGGCTTGGTTTAAAATTTCACACTAGATTTTTACACTAAAGGTGCGCTGCGTAACATTTCAAGTGGAAGGTTTGCTACCTTAGATGATTCAACAGCCAGTTTCACTTCGCAGAGACTGTCTGATCTTGCATCATTAGAATTTGTTCGCTTGACAGTAGGCTCACGGGGCTAACTCGTATACGTATTAAGCTTTTCCCAAATCCAGTAGGAAGAAGGGCAATAACGCCTTTCCCCTTGCTAAAATTCACCAAACATTCTCTTTGTTCAGGTTTTAAATCCTCGATCTCAGGAATCGTTGCCAACACAGAATGTATGGCTGTTCGCTGATTGGTTGGTGCCCAAATTCGCACTTCTGGAGTTTTTGCGAACCGTCTAGTGTATTCCGATTCCTGACCTAGTCGCTGGAGAGAAATGAAATTGAGCGGAGGCACTAAGTGGTGACTGCCTGACTACTGCTACCTGCTTGTCTCCACGGAAATGTTCCACAGTATAGAATAAACCATGAGGAAGATATGCCGGTTACAGCACTATGCTACATTATAGTTCAGATCTGTGGAGAGTTGCCCCTATTCACAAAAGGAATTATAGTATTTTTGAGCAATACCTGTAATGAATAAATGCTAAATGGATATGTTTAATGTCTTCTTGGAGCATGGAGACAACTATTTAGCGGACCCTCCACCAGAAAAGTTGCGCAGTGCAGCTTGGATACAAAATACAAAATGATTAAAATGACTGTAACTGAAATGTAAAGCAGTCAACAAACATTTTAGTGTTTTTACTGTCTATGTAAGAACATGTTTACATGTGCTCTACTATGAAACACAAATATTGGACAACAACAGTTACCGTTAGTCATAGATGGATTAAATATCATTACGGCTAGATCACTTTGTTCAATAGAAGCCTCATCTGTTTTCCTATTCACATCACACACACTCAGAGCCAGCAGCCTGCCTCTCTCTCCTTATCAGAGCAGTTCAAACCAGGACACAAGCACCAACCGTATTACTTCTTAAAAATGCATTGCTTGCTTTTTGCATTTATTGATAATTCTTCTTCTTCTCTGTGTTTCTCATCAGCTTCATTTAGGATCAATCTTAACCTCAGTGTTTAATTCAGATTTATGTGCTGTGTCTGTCCTTGTGAGTCTGAAGAACCCAGGCAGGTGATGTAAAAAAAAAACTCCCTGTATTTTAGTGGTCTGAGTCATCGCTGTGCAAATAAAATGTAGAGAGGTAATGCTCAGAATAGTGAGTGTATTGTGCAACATAGAAACAGATAGCATCGCCTGACAATAACAGTTTATGCCAAATCAAATCAATACAGCCCAGACGCTATGTAGCTATATTATCGCTCTCTCTCTCTGTCTGTCACTCCATCTGCGGCTAGATTTGAATACATGTCCTCGAAGGTTCATCTAAGGATTTTAAAATGTCAAAACCAAAGCAAAAACCAACTTTGAATGATAAAACACTCAATTAAATCTAAACCCTGAATGGAAAGACTTAACTCACTCAACTAGAACTGAAGCTGGGTCTTATGAGGGTTAAACCGGGACTAAACCAGATCTGCACCACGGTTTTTGGAATGGGTTTATCCTTTATGTAATTCACCTCTATTTCTCTATATGAGATGTCATCACAGTATTCTATAGGCCAATATTATTTAATACAAATGGGGGGTGGCTAAAATCATTATTGTTCAACTGCAGGTTTTGTTGTAATATAGCAGTGTCTTGAGTCTGGTCAGTAATAGAAATGATCAGTTTGCATATTTAGGAATTTGCCTTTCTGATATTTCATGGCAAAATACAGTGTAATCAATATGCAAAACTGACTCGTGCTCCTCAGCATCACATTATTAATTCAGTTTACGTCTGAAGAAGGACTACTATCAAATTACTCGAAGGTAAAATATGCATCTTTTCTTATGTACAGTCCTTGTCTCCATGGAGATGCTATTGTGTTGCCTTGAGTGTTCCATAGTATGGCATTGACTTTTCTATCTTTTCTATCTTTTCTATTTGTTCAATTACACGTGGTTTTATTGCTGAAAATACTTTGAAAAAATGCATTTTTACTGTGAGCGTTCTTGCCTGTCCATTGATCTGTCACTTAGGCTTGTCTTCACGAAGATTAATTTGTTTAATGCCATAATGTGGAACATTCAAGGCAACGCAATAACTTTTCTATGGAGACAAGCACAGAGAAGGCATCAGAAAAGTGATATAAACATATATTGTATGTTTAATACATGAACTGGACTACCCAATCACTACAACAGCAACTTTAAACCTCAAGAAGCCCATGCACAATAAACGGCACCTACACCTCTGTTTGAGACCCTCTGGCTTGTTCACATGCTGCTGCCCTCCCCTCATCTTTTTCTCCATCTCATGTCTGCCACTCCATCTGTCTGTAGATTTTCACACAAGCATTTATCGAAAGGTTCAACTAAGCTTCTTCCCGGCAGACAGACAGGAAGTGGCCATATATGGGCTCCTGTCTCCTGCCTGCTCTCTGCTCCAGTTTCCATAGCAACTGCATTTTGTTTCCAGGAAGGAGTGCAGTGATAGGAGGACAGGAGATGTGCTAGTTTTCAGATAAGGGCTTGCAATATGGGACAGGCACAGAAGATCTATATGTATTAAGGTGAATTTCGACTTAACCTAGGCCTAATGTTTATGGTTACGTTATGCATTTTGTTCTATATATGTATTAAGATTTGTAATACTTTAAGTTATTTTAGCTGTAATAGACCTACATTTTGCAGGATATAGTGATCAATTTAAAAATATTGTTATTATTATGTCATCAGGTTGGCTGTTATGTACTTGTTTTTATCCCAACCTGGAGCTAAAAGCGCTGCTGTGTATATAAATATAAATAAGAGACACGATTAGCTGGTGTTGTCCTATTAGCTAATGGAAAACAATGTTATATAAAGGCGATGAAGAGGCTGACTCAGAGTGAAGCCTCACCTGGTGGCTTGGAGGGGGAGGTTCAAACAGTTGACATAACAATAGTTGTATTATTTTAGTCCGGTGTCTTTAGAGCAAGTTGTATCCTCTCTTTGCATCCAGTTTGTGCAAGGACATTGAAACTCACAGACTTTTACTCTCTTCTTCCTTCCCTCCGTACATCCTCCTCCTCTTCCTCCCTCTCTCACTCAGACAGAGACAGAGACTAGCTGAATTCAGGCGGGGTCAGATGAGGAGACGTTGAAGGAATTTGAATTGAGATTAAGGATTTTCTCCGGATTACAGCTGTGCAATCTCAATCAATGTCCAGCACTACGCAGCAGTTTAGCTCAAAAACACATCAGATTTTATCACATGTTTTATAAATTGCATTCATTCAGTACTCTAATCTAATCTGTCAGTATGTATTGTCCATTTTATATTGTCTTCTTGTGTTGATGGATGTGTATAAAAGCAGATAAGGAGACAAGCTTTCATGAGGTCCATCATAAGCAGTTGTATTGACAGCTGACATTTTGACAGATCTCCCCAGCTGCAGATAGAAACTGTATTGGTTTGCACACAGCCCTCTCCATCACGGCCGCTGCCATGACGACCAGGTCAGGAGGAGCAGGAAGTAATAAGGTTTGGTCTCCTGATGCTTATCCCATGTCCCGTATAATGACCTCCTATTACTAACCCCATACAGCCCAGTGGTCCTCCTCCTCAGTCATTACCAGCTCCCAGACCTGTGTTTTATTCAGGGCTACAGTGAGCAGTACAACACACAAAAGAATAGCCTTAGTTTTATGAATGAAGAGCAGAGATTTGGGACACTCTGGTCTAAAGAGAAATGCATTGTAAGCAGGTTGTAGTCGCCTCAGTGGTCTCTTTGTAAGCATTTTTAAAGCCATATTTATAAATTATGTAATAAATGTATTTTTTTCAGTGTTAAGTAAACGGGACTTGCTTTGACTTAAGTAGGGCTAAGATGTTGATGTTGTCCTTGGACGTTACAAGGATGGATGGGATTAGGAATGAGTGCAACATAGAAATAGCTTGTAAGCGATGTTTTGGGGTTTAAGCCAGAGGACAGAGGAATGAGGTGCCTGGAACACGTGCAGAGAAGAATTAGTGAACATATTAATAGATGGGTGTTAGAAGCCTAAGAGGAAGACCAAAGAGGAGATAATATGAAGGAAGGCAAGAGGAACGAAAGAGAGAGACTGGACAGGATGCAAAAGATTATAGATTTTAATTTAAAGGTCCTATATTACATAAAACTGACTCTTTGCTTTAAGCCATGTTATAATGTTGTTACCGCCTCAAAAACACATGTTTGAGTAACCTTGTTTGTCTACGTCTCCAAAGCTCAAAACGCTTTGTTCCACCTTGTGATGTCATGACACGCTAGTTTACAAGTTATCTACTTTTTAGAGAGATTGGAGAGAGAAATACAGGTCTGAAAACCACCCAAATAATTCTAGTGAAGGTGTAAGGAGTTTAAAAACACAGTGGAGCACTTTCTGTATTGCCACATGACATTACAAGGAAGAGAGTGTTTTATGTTTGAGACAAGAACTCAGCCTAAATCTGAATGAAACAAAACACAACTCCAATCCTGTTTGTGATGAGAAAACATCAGAAAATAAAATAATATGGCTTTTTTTGGTTTCATTTTTTCAAAACAGTTAATTTATTTACTATGACATATAATAATACATGTTTTTCTTCTTCTCAGGGTCCCAGGGGTCTTCCTCGTCTCTGTCTTCTGCAAAAGTGTCCAGTCCAGAAGAGGAGAGGAATGGCACTACTCCTGAAGGTGAGTAACATAAACTCTGTATTCTCTGACAGGTACATTCAAATACCACCGTAATCTCTCAATCATCTCTGACCTTTTATTCATGAGTCTCAAACTATGGCAACGCTCCTTCGTCCTCATAGCAACTAAGCATTTTACATTACAATATTCTATGTTTTGAAAGCAAGGAAATATATTTATACCTGTACACAGTGATGGGAATGGACTTTGAAAATGTATTTAGTTACAGAATACTGAATAGCCCAATTAAAATGTAATCTGTAACGGATTCTGATACATAGTCCAATCAGAATACTGCATTCTGAATACTTGAGATATTTTACTTTACTTTATGTCTAATTAGAGATGAAACATTGCACATGCGCGCACTGCAAGACCTGTGTTTCTTTTTTTTTCTTATTAATACCATGCATGCAAGATGAAGTACTGCCATGTATTCCTTTTAATTTAGGAGAGTAACTATTCTGAATACCACCAAATGAAAAATGAACTATACCACAATACAAGTACTCAAAATGTGTATACTTAATATTGTATGAATAGGTGCATGTAGTCATTTACTTCCCAAACCTGCCTGTACACTGTTATCACTTGAATAGATTATACTTACCTTACCTAATCTTACCTTGACCTGGATAAAACATAGATGAAAACAGGTTCTTCCCTCTCTCTTAAACAGTGGAGGTTCCAGTAGACGAGGTTCCTGCCGTGCCATCCTACATCTCGGATCGGTACAGAGTGGGACGCATGCTCGGGGATGGGAACTTCGCTGTGGTTCGAGAATGTGTGGAACTGTCAACGGGACGAGAATACGCACTTAAAATTATCAACAAGAGCAAGTGCAGAGGCAAGGTGAGGCCAGCAGACACACACACAGACATTTCTTACAGTTAGTCAGGTGTCGTATGGGAGGACTTTACATTTGGTACTAAATTGTAGTCGTGTTTCACAGGAACATATGATCCAGAATGAGGTGGCCATCCTGCGCAGAGTCAAACATCCAAACATCGTCCTCCTGATCGAAGAGGTGGACACGTACAGTGAACTCTACCTGGTCATGGAGCTGGTCAAGGTGAGGCAGCAGCATAATCATCAAATGAAAAATAGATCTGAAATATCTCTGAAATAAAGACCTGTACTATTTACAGTGTATATTTCTACACATTCCTATAACAGATACATATTTTGGTTGCACTTAATAAAAAACATCTTCATGAATTTTAATAAAGCATGAAGAATGGCTTAAATCATAATGAACAAATACTTTATCAATAGTTTATTAAGAATGATTCAACCTTAATAACTACTTCCTTAAAGGATTAGGAGTTAGGGTTAGTAAGTAAGTTAGTAGTGATGTAACGATAACCAAAATATCTTGATATCGTATCGTTAAAGTTCTCACAATAATATCATGGACCATTACAATATATCAAATTACAAGTGTCTTTGCTTAAATTAAGACTTATGGTGCAGCAAAAGCTAAAAAAAAAAAAAAAAAAAAAAAGACAGAGGGAACTACATAGACCATGATCCTTTGCTCCATTTCAGTGCAGACTACATGAAGAAATAACAGTTCTAAGCACTTTTAAGTCTTAGTTCTTTGGATTAAGTCTTGTCAAGGCATTTTAAGAGGAAAATATAGCATATTAACCCTCTCAGGCTCAAATTAATTTTTAGTATCAGGAAAAATCTAATATTTGGGGAAAATTATCATATGGGGTAGTAATATACAATCCTGACTTTTTTATCCTTTGTAAACAAAAAAAGTATTTTGCACTTCTGGCAGGCCGTTTGCACGTAGCCATTCTTGCACAGTCTGCATCGTCCACGTTTATCAGCATGGAAGGGAGAAAAGGCTCCTGAGGAAAAAAATCTCATAAAATATGGATGTGGAGTAAGTAGGTAATTGGAATTTAGTTGTTGCAAATCTACAACGCCTGCCTGGAGAGGGTTAACAGTTTTGTCATCCTCACCAAAATATCGCAATAAATCGTACTGTGAGATGTATATCGTGAAAATGTTATACATAGAGATTTGGATATCGCTACATCCCTAATCGTGAGCCTCCCCACCATATCTTGAGCTTTCATGATATCGCAATAAATATCGTACCGTGAGGTTCGTACCATGACAATATTGTATCGTGAGACTTGGATATCATTACACCCTTATAAGTTAGTAAACCTGAATCATTCTTAAAGACGGGATATTATGCAAAATCAACGCACAGCAACTTGACAAACCTGATGCAATATGCAAGAATTTTATTAGTGCAATGACTGTGTGGTGACAGCGCTCTGAAGGTGGCTTAGTACATGGAGCAAAAAGAGGAGACACTCAGAACGTCAAAAATAAAAGTTAAATTTATAAAACATGTTAATACATTGTTTCTAGCAAATGTAGCATCAAAACAATAAAAGATAATATGTGATCTAAATATGTTACTATGTGTTAAGTTAAGTCTTAATAATATCGCATAGAAGTAAAATATCCCTTTTTTAATGTATTATTGTATAACTTGGAGTCGTGATTCATGATTGGAAACTGTTACAAACAAGACTACCTACCCTCTCTTCACTTCACGTCATTTATCTAATTTCTACCTCCAGTGTATGGCCTATATAGTGTAGCTGTTAATTCACAAACATGCTTTTCATTCGTGAGTAATCTCCCATGATCCCTCTTGTTGCACTTGCGATTGTTATCTCTAATTCGGCGAGTCCATAGATCTGACATAGATACAGCAGCCATTCTCATCCACTGAACCAAGTGATGAATCCCAAACAGTGGCGGGGTGTTGGATGGGGAGAATTGGTTTGTGGCCTCCAGCGATCGTGTGTGCGCATTTTTCATTCTGGAGTGGAGAAATGTTGTGTGCATTATTCAGCAGTAGAGTGTCATCCATCTGTCAATGCTGCTACAAAGTACTACAGAATATAGATGAGTATGAGACCGGTGCAGATAGTGCTGTGTACTGTTAGTGTGGGCAGTGGGGATGGAGAGACGAAGGAGACACAGGAGCAGATGGGGAAGGTGTGGCGGCTGTGTTACTAATACAGAGGATGTGACTAGACTACATATAGATCAGAATATCAGCAGGATTACAGCAGTCGTATTAACTACTACTGTATATGTAAATACAGGATTGCTAAAACATAAATCAATTGAAATATAACCCTGAGTAAGATAATTAGTGTGTTAAAAATGGTTAAAGGGCCCATATATATTATAAGTTATTTTATGTTCTATGTTATAATGATATCCTTCTCAGAAACATACCTGGAGTTGTGTTTTGTTTCATTCACACGTCATAAACCCTGCATATTTAGGCTGAGATCTTCTTTCAAATAGAAAATACTCTGTTCCATTTTGTGATGTCATGTGGTAATACTGGAAGTGATCCTTTGTGTTTTTAAAGTTCATTAGAATAAATACATTTCTAATCATTTAGATGATTTCAGCCCTGGAATTGCCAAACTTTGCTAAACACAAGATAAAATGTAGTTGTTAACTTGAAAATTACTACTTCATGGCATCACAAAGTGGAACAGAGCATTTGGAGCATTTGGAGATCTGTTGAGCATGTGGAAATGAAACAAAACAGAGCTCCAGATATGTTTATGACTTGATAACAACATTCTAACATGGCTTAAAGCTCACAAGAGTCAGTTTTGCATAATATAGGACACTTAACTGATCATATATATGATGAAAAAAGATCCTAACATCTCTGTGAGCCATAGCAGTGCTGTAAATTCACACGGGACTCACACATGTCCAAAAGTATTTCTGTATAAAATGTGTGTGAGTGTGGTGAGAAAAGTGCTTTTCCCAGATGATAGATGTCCTGTCACTCATGGTTACATAAGGCGGTGTGGAGCCAGTGCCACTGTCTCCCACAAAAAGGTGTTTCGTTATTTTTGTGTTGGGCACCTATGATATTTATTGGCGGTTTTAATTTTGGATAGCATTTGAAGATAAAAAAAAAAAGTGGAGATGTTTTTGTGTTACTTAACTTCTTATTTCCATTTTGAATCATGTTGCGTTATAATCTAGTCTTGCTGAGGTTGTGTTTACATATACTGCAAAATGTAAATGATAAAGAAATACATTTCCAAATAATGAGACAAAAATGTTAATCTTGAACCAGCCAACATCCTGATATTCTTCACATTTGATACCAGACTAAAATATGAACTGCAAAATCTTTTACAAGAATTCCAAAACCTACATGACTTTTCTAATTAGGCAACTTTACAGTATAACTATGACGACAATAAGGGCTGTCATAACGTGAGTGTAGCATGTCCCTGTATTGTCTATGGAGGTGCTGTAGTTTTGGTGAGGCTCCAGTCTGTGGGATTTGACAGCTTTCATATTTAAATAAGAGTCACAGCGCAGGTCAGGAGCTGTAGTGTCAAAGGAAGAGCGAGCTTCAGCCCTATTTTTACCTCCTGCTCCAGTTAGTCCAGTCACACAAAGATACCGTCAAGAAATAACAAGGGAGAGAGGTGATGGGAGGTGGAATTTAAAACACAGTATAATGTATGAAGGAAGAGTTTGTGCAGTGGTTTTATTCTCTTAAAGATGATAAATACAGCTGCACAAGTCCCTAATATTTTCACGATACTGCGATTCCACACTTTATTTTAGTAATAACAAAATAGCACTGGGCATTTGAAGTATGAATTGATGTGGTTCTATCCTCTTTATAACATCTCCACTTTATAATTAGAATTTCATCAAATTATCAATAACATACTTTGCAACAAGTGTAGCTACTACCTACTCAGATCAGTGTAGGCAGAGGTGGGACTAAGTAATTGTTTTGCAAGTCTCAAATAAGTCTCAAGTCTTTGACCTCAAGTCTGAATCAAGTCCCAAGTCAAATACAGGCAAGTCCAAGTTGAGTCTCGAGTCACTGGCCCATAAATTCAAATCAAGTCCAAGTCGTCTGCTTCGAGCTTCAAATCATTTTAAGTCTTTAATCCAAAGTACCAAATGTATCTTAGACTGTTGCAATTTATATGACTTTTAAGATAAATTGCACTTATAAAGTCATAGTATATTTATATATGAGTATGTATAGAGTATATAAGTGTAGTAGAAATGCAAACTTTTTCTTTTTAAATATCTTGACAAGATATTAGTGAGTCATTATAGTCAGAATAGAAAGAATTCAGATTTAAAAGTGTTTTTCAAGTCTTCTCAAGTGGCCTCAAGTCTGAGTCAAGTCCCAAGTTTTAGTCCATTTTATCAAGTCAAGTCTCAAGTCCTTTAAATAGTGACTAAAGTCTGACTCGAGTCCAAGTTACGACTTACAAGTCCCCACCTCTGAGGGTAGGTTTGTTAATATTTACTGTACAAAATGGAGTGTATACATCACAAAATATAAAATTTTCATAGTATTCCAAGAGCAGCTTGTATTGTGGCTGGTCAAAAGACAAATCTGTCATCTCTGGATAACAGTTTCACACAGAACCGAACACTTCTGCTAGACTGTGACACTGACGAGCCTCTTGTTCTGTCACTCTTTGTCCACAGGGAGGTGATCTGTTCGACGCCATCACCTCGGCCAACCGATACACGGAAAGAGACGCCAGTGGCATGCTTTACAATCTGGCCAATGCCATCAAGTACCTCCACAGCCTCAACATCGTGCACAGAGACATCAAACCAGAGAACCTCCTGGTGAGTGGGACCTGACACCTAACATTTGAAATCAATCTGAAATTCATGTTCCACCAGTTATTCTTCACCAGTTATGGACTGGGTTTCAAAAGAGGCTGCAACACAGAGGTGGGCAATTCCAGGGCTAAAACAATCCAGATTATTCTAGTGAAGGTATAAGGAGTTTAAAATCACACTGGAGCACTTCCTTTATTACCACATGACAGAGAGAACAGAGAAGAGAGAACAATTGAATATGGAGGGTTTGTCTGTTAAACATGTGTGAATGAAACAAAACATGCTTTTGAGGAAGAAACAACATTATAACATCAATCAGAAAATAGTGTAATATGGCCTTTTAAAGAAAAAGTTAGATACCTGGAGCAGGAATCAAACCTTTTTTTGCCAGCATTTACTTCTGTGATGTGATTCTTCTGCATTAATCATACTTTTTTTTGTTAAACTGATTAATAGTCTAGACATGCCTCATCCATTTCTCTGTACAGTTAGTTCTCATTTTGTAATTGTACAAGTTTCTAGTGATGTCTGACTCACATCTTTCACCATCACCTCCTCTGCTTCTCGTCCTATTTCTTCTTGTCCACATATTTGCCCTTTCACCTTTGTTCCCGCTGTCTGCTCCCCCCTCTGCTGCCCCCTCACCTTCACTGACTCACTGTCTCAGTCTCTCACCCTTTGGGACCTCATGTGCTACCTCCAGAGACTGTTATTCTGTTCCATTGATTAAGGTTCATCTCAATAGAAATAAAATGAAAGATTAGATAGTTTAATGGTTGGGAAATATCCAGAAACAACAACAAACTGCTCCTGCACAATATTAACAAATCCACAGATAATTTTAAACCTTTTGCCTGGAAACATGTAAACATATCTGACAATGAGAGAGGATTGTTAAAACATTCTGATCTAATTTACATTTTAGATTTTCTGAGAATCTGATTATATATTATTACCTTTAGTTTTTAATAGATCGGCTAACCAACAACCTACACTGTGCGCTACAAAGGTTTAGTGTTTAGTTTTCACATTTGAGTAAGAAAATGTCTTTGTTTTGTTTTTCTTTTTTTTTTTTGGAAAATGACATTTGATTACACATGATGGACATAATGAGGCAGATGGCACAATAAGCACAATCACAGCAAAGAGCACAGTGCTGAGACTAGTGTTTGTTATAATATGTGCACAAACAATAGCATGTGACTGAGCTGATTAGATAATGTTGCTGTATTTCACACCTTTTATACATGAATAAGGAGGGACATTGCTTTTTCCTGTCTGCCTCTCCTCACATTATAATTATAAGAGCTCTATTTCACTGATATCATGCTTGTATACAAGGGACACCTGAAGCAGTCAGACATGCTATTTGCAATATTGTCCTGCTATTCATGCAATCAAGGTTATGACAGTGAGCCCCTTAAAAGTGATTGAATGACACTCATGCATGTTATGTATCTACCCTGTTCATTTCTACAAATCATTAAAAGAGGTGATGTTAAATACTGTTTTGTTGTTTTTTTCTTTTAGGTCTATGAACATGCAGATGGCAGTAAAAGCTTGAAGCTGGGAGATTTTGGTTTAGCGACTGTTGTGGATGGACCTCTCTATACTGTGTGTGGAACGCCAACATATGTAGCACCTGAAATCATTGCGGAAACAGGGTAAGGCAGTTTAAACTAGAGTGTATATTTTACCTTTTAGTTGTTGTGTTTTAACATAAATATTGTTGTTGTTCAGGTATGGCCTTAAAGTAGACATCTGGGCAGCTGGAGTTATCACATATATTCTTCTCTGTGGGTTCCCTCCCTTTAGAGGGTAAGTCATAGATAACTTTTCTTAAACCTTTCCTTGAAATACATTACATTACATACAGTAGTTGCCACAGAATATTCTACAGTATATTGTATGTATGAAATAAGAAGATCATCGGTGCCCTCTAGAGGTGTACAGGTGGTAGTGCATGGTAAACTAATGCACATTTTAAACTGAACATTTGTTTTGCAGAAGTTGTGAAGACCAGGAAGTCCTTTTTGACCAGATACTGATGGGGCAGTTGGAGTTTCCAATGCCGTACTGGGACAATGTGTCTGAAACAGCCAAGGTGAATACCGCTGTCTACGCATGCATCAGCTATTCTATTATTATTATTTATTATACTAGCATATAATAGTAATACACTGAAATGGACTGACCAGAATCTACTCTATTAACAGGAGCTGATCCGGTCCATGCTGGAGGTGGAGGTTGATCAGAGATACACCGCTCTACAAGTCTTAGAGCACCCCTGGGTCACTGTAAGTTGGAATAGTCAAATCAAAAGTTTTACTGTTGCTATTGTATGTCACTGACTTTATATGAAATATATCTTTGAATTGAAAAGTTATGACTTAAACAACCATATAATAAAGCACTTTACATTAAGTTTACATTTTAAAGCAGATTTGAAATTACCTATGCTTTTTTTCAGTAATTTCCACAATTATTATTTTTTATTTCTTACAATTATATTGTGATCTGAATAACTACGATTATTGAATAACCAAAATTAAATAATCTAGACCTTCCTAGTTGGAAAATGCCAGTGTCAAATTCAGTTCTTATTTTCTTGAATGCATTTCCACCATAACAAGTAATCAGAGTAAATTCATCTTAAATTCTGTTTCTTCTTTGTTCAGGACGAGGGTCTGTGTGAGAATGACCACCAGCTGTCTGTAGCAGGAAAAATCAAGAAGCACTTCAACACCACTCCAAAAGACAAGGACACAACAGCCGGGGTCTCGGTCATCTCGGTACGTCCATTCCCTCTTGATGTTTACATAGATCAGTTTTATCGATCACTGTACATTATGGACAGCGCTAACGGTGGTTGAAAGGTTTGCAGATTGATTTTGGTGCTCTCTCTCTCTGTTCAGCTCGATGACAGCTTTTCTATGCAGAGATCTGGGTCGTTGGATTTCTACCAGCACCCAGCCATGTACTGGATCAGGTACCTGCGATTGTGCCAAATATCCCAGCTCGTCAAGTGTCTGCCCCTGCCTCCTGCTGCAATGCTTTGACCCATTCATGTTGTCTATGCATGGGTTTCAGAATGATGACAAATTAGGACTGTTGCCATTGCGATTAACAATTTAAAATCAAATATTAGCTCTTTTAAATGGGGAACACATTGTAAAACCTGGAAGCTGAAACCTGTGAAGTGTTTTGTAACCTACCCCTCACTGTTTAAAGGTGCACTATCACTGTGGAAGGTAAACCACCAGCTTGTCTCCATGGAAACAGGATGAGGTTTTCTTTGTTTGGAATGTTCCACAGTATGGCATTGAATTCATCTATCATCTATCTAGCCATGGAGATAGGCAAAGCAATAACCTCCCATCTTCATGACGACATGCAGGTGGCAAACCCTCCACCAGGATAAGTTAAAGGTGCATTGTGTAACTTTTCTGGTGGAGGATCTGTCGAATGCTTTTCTCCATGGAGATGTTATTGTTTCGCCTGGAATGTTTTACAGTATGGTATTAAACCTTTCTATCATGGAGACCAAACCAGACCGAGTTACAGGTTAGCTCTGCGGAGAGGCGATCCCGCTCACTGTCAGAATGCCTGTTTTCTAGGCATTTTTGAGCTATAAAGCCAGCTGTAATGGAATAAATATAAGGTAGAGCTGTTTAATGTCATACTGTGGAACATTTCAGGCTGAGCAATGACATATCCATAGAAACAAGCACGTGATGGACGTAATGCACCTTTAAATAGTGCTCCTTTAAAAACCTTCCCTCAATGCTGTGTTTGTGTGCTTGGGCCTTGAGTGATCCGTCTGCTGTACAAATGTCCAGTGGGATTATGTTTCTGTGAGCCTTGTTCACACATTTCTTTGTGAAGAGCTTTGCAAAGAAATTGCACTCTTGGTCACTCCCTGAGATTCATTTTGTTGTTTTGCTTGATGTGAGGCTTACTTCATGTTGTAAGTTTTTGCTTGTGATCCATTAATTTTATTTTTTCAGATCTAATATATCAACAAACAGTGCACTATGCTTTTCTCAGCATTCACCACATAATCCTTAGAACATGCTAGATATTATTTTCATTGCAAACAAGTCCATTTCAGAGTAAATCCATTGGTGCTTTCAGTGATATTGATTTAGAATAGTGTAATCAGTTTCTAAAGATAAGAAAGATAAGATATAAGGTCAGGGTAGGTTTTGTCAAATTCTGTTGCCTTGGCATAATATGTTTAAGACTATTTTCCAACTAATTGCATAAGATTCAGTTTGTTTCTGCACCTGCCTCCATCTGTTCAAAATCTTGCTTTTTTGCTACTGTTACAGCTCCATATGAAATACTGATCTTATCCTGAGCCCCTCTTTTGTTGCTGCAGTGTCTCCTTGCTGTGTTTTGTCATCTTGCACCAGTTACTATATATGGATGTATAAATATAATTCACACTGGCATAAATTCTAACCCCTTCTAACCTTCTGTCTCTCCTCAGACCACCTCTCTTGATAAGGCGGGGCAGGTTCTCAGACGAGGATGCCACCCGGATGTGATCACCTTGACGAGTTTATCCATGATGACCAGAGCTGAGCAGGCGCTGCCTCCCAGTGTCCTCCCCGGCCTCCCCCCTCTGACCCTTAACCCCAGTGCAGACTTCTCCCCCAGCCTCTCCTCTGCCTCCACGGACGTGTCCATTTGCTCGGTCAACAGCACAGGCCGCTCCCCTAGCTCACCCTTTTTCTGACCTGGGACAGGAGGAGGAGGCGTGGGACACGGGTGAGAGGAGAAGAAGAAAGGAGAGGTTCTCAGCTCATCCTTGTATTAAAGCAACTGTGTCAAACTCAAATGAACAAACCACAAAAATCTACAGAAGCCTTACTCACCTGTTTACTTATTGAATAAGTAAACATCACCTTTCTGTCTCCATGGTAATAGATATGTTTAATGTGGAACATTCCATTAAAAAATACATTCTGATTGAAAAAAGCATGTGGCAGACCCTTCACCTGAAAGGTTAAGTTTATAGTTAATTACTGTAGAAAATAATCTCTTATAATGCCTTTTAAATGGTCAACTGCTTGTACTTCAAGCCAGTGCTCTTGTATGGATCAAAATGTGATAACATCTTGATAGCACCTTTGAGATTGACACACATGCTTTTTATAGCAAGGGAGGTAGACGAACCTGTCCCCCTTCCTCTCTCTCTTATATCCAGGACTTGGGTTGAAAGGCAAAAACTGAACTATTGTTGCTCTAAATGTTCTGCGTGGGACGAGGTTAGAGAGGACAGACTACAGACTCAGAGGTGACACGTGAGAGGAAAGAGTTTGGAAAGACTTATTATTTGACTTTCTCTCATCTGAGCACATGGCACAGAGCTCACGGAGCGAAGAAGAGAACCTCTGGATCCTTCAGTGATGATCGGGGCTCAGCGCGGGGACTTCCTGTTGATGGAGCAGCTCTAAAGGCAATATGAGAAAAACAAATGTTCACGTTTTATTGAACCTTAACTCTTTACTCATTATTAATCACTACATTTTTATATATACTTTTCTTTTTACGTTGTGATCTCGTTCGGAGAAAATAGGTGAGTAGAAGTAGTAGAGCTCAGGAAAGTGTCAATAGGCTTCTGTAGTACTTGAATGTGAATGTGAAGATAGCAAAAAAGTTACTCTTAGGGATGTCTTGGTACCTATGACTACACAAGTCTCCCACTATGTATTTGTCATGGTACCTGGACAATCCCTATAGCTTAATCATGTAAAAGAAGGATTTTCATATAAAATGTGTTTTAAAATTTGTTGGAAAAAGTCTCGAGCACTAGTTGTTTAGACGGTGTTGGTGATGCCTTCCTGTTTTGGTGGATTCCAGTTTACAGGGTGATAATGGTGCATTCACTTGCTTTTTGTAATATTGGTTTCTCTGTAACACCTTGACAATGATAGCATATGGGTGCTTGTGTAGCAACTTTCACACTTTAACAACACTGATATTATGCTAATCCTTTTGCAGAAATCAGGCATAACAGTATTTGACTAGACTTCCTCCCTAAAATGAGCACCTTAAGTTATTCAGTAGTATCTTATCTGTCTTTTGAATTGTTCGCGTCTGATCCTTTGATGACCACTTTATAAAATTAATACTTAATAAAGGGAATTTTACAAAACAATCTTAATATGCCCAACCCATAAAATAAAGTGCCAAATGTATTCTATATTGTTATGCCTGATTGATGTATTCTGTCATTGTCATATGAAGCCTTGTTTACATCTCAACATGACATTGCCATATTCCAGCTGTGCTTTTGATAGGGATGCACCGATCTCGCTTTCTCAATTCCAATACTAATTTCGATTATGAATCTTTAAGAATCTACCGATACTCAATGTAAACTGTTACAAGTGCAGGGACTGAAAACAGCATTTATTTCCTTTAAACAAAAACTAACATTGGACAAAATTGATCCAAAAATGTTATGTAGCTAGTTATCTCTTAAATAACTACAGAACAACTTTGTATAAATAAAAGTTAAATGAATAGTCTTACATTACATCAATACATGCCCAACCAGGATATCGACTTGACCGATAATTGGAAGCAGATATCCGATCCAGCAAATTTTTCAGTATACGCGGATCGTTGCATCACTACTTTTTGAAGATTGTGAAAGTTGCAAGATAGAGGCTGTTTTTGCACAATTCACTACAGTCTATAATATCGCCTACATACTAACATTTGGAATGACTTTGGGACAGTGGACAACCAGCAGTATCATCACACTATGAACAAGGGGTGACTCTGTATAAGTCGATCTGGAAACCTCATCCAAGGCTTATTCATTCAATTGAAAGCATGACAGACATACAGTAGCCTATTCTTATACAACTGTTCAGTGAATTAATGTTTATATGTTCATGTAAATAACAATTTTATTTATTTTGATAGTTAACAATACAGTATATTTCTTTACTAGTAGAAAATGTAAAATGATTCATATGTGTGTATCAGCCATTAAGCAACAAAAAATATCAAGAGGAGATGGAAAGACTATGAATGGAATCTGAACAAAACTATAATATGAGTGAAGGAGTTGTATTATTCTGGTAAAAGTACAGTTTTGTATTGAAAACTACAAAACATGTTCTAGATCTCCCAGCAGTCATCAGTTTCTGTCTGTTCCTGTATTTGTCATCACATAAAGAATAGTGTGTTGCCAAAATGATAAATACCTTGATTTGTTTCTGCTACTCCACATTCTCCAGCACACGGACATACGTGATTTACCAAAGTGCTCACTGCTGCACCACTCTATAACAAGTCTGTCGCAATACCAGTAACTGTACCTCTGTCCAACAATGGTCTATCAATAAAGATGAGAATTAAAAAACAGGTTTCCAGTAAATGTTTTGTGTTAAAATATGGTCCAGTTGTTATCATTTACATAAAGGAGTGCTATGTAACTTTTCTGGTGAAGGGTCCCCACCAGGCCAAGATACAGGTCAGATTTGTGGTGGATTTGAGATGACCCAGCACAAAGTAAGAATTCATTGTGTCAAACTACATAAGTTTAATGCCATACTGTAGAACATTCAAGACAAAGCAATAGCATCCCCATGGAGACAATCGCAAAAAAGTTACACGGTGTAGCTTTAAGGGCACATTAAAAATATTTTATCGGCAAAACACAATGGTCAAAATATTTATTTTCTAAATATAACAATGAGGAATCCATTAAAATAAATCTGAAATACAGACAAAAATATTGTTCAGTGCAGCATGTGATATAAATGTGCCCTCTAGAGGTGATTTAGAGCAAGTACATCAAGAATATTGATTGATATCATACACCACAGACTGTACTGTACTATATATGCTCTTTATACAGTTTATGATCCACACAAAATCCAATTAACTTAACAACAAATGGTGATGGAATCAGAGTCGGCAATAATTATTGGCATTTTAAGAGGAATGTGCAATGTTATCGGTCCATTTGAGCGTTATGTTTTTTTGTGCTTTATACAGTATTTCATCTAATAGGGAGCAGTTACAGTTTTGCGCCACTAGATGTCATTGCTGCACACCTCAAGTGCACAGAAGAAGAAACTACTACCATGGAGGAAGCTTTGTAGCGTCTTCCTGATAGAAATTTCTTTAGCTCAGAGCTGACTGGACATTTCTAACAAACTGCATTAAATAACGAAAGAATAGTAGCTTCAAGCGAGCTATAAACTGATCTCATCAAGACGATCATGTCAACAGAGAGGGACATATGAACTGACTGTTAGCATTAGCAACTCACAACCCCACAAGCTCCGAGGGATTCACTGCCATCATGAGCGAAGATGACAAATCCCCCACGGCGAACAAAGACAAGGAGTCCACGCTGTTGTTCACGAAGGACGGACAGAAGTATTACATGAACAAGAGCGGCGGGCTGGACAGTAGAAATGTGGTCACGCCGCACGAAACGGAGAGCGCGTCCTACGACATGGACGATCCGGACGAGGAGGGAGACATGCTGGACACGTCTGACCCCCGGGACACTACGGCCAGTCCGGAGGAGCTCAACGACGAGGAGGTGTCCGAAGGCGACAATGCCCCCAAACAGTGCACGTATGAGGGGTGCACCGAGACAACGACACAGGTGGCCAAGCAGCGCAAACCCTGGATGTGCAAAAAACACCGCAATAAGATGTACAAGGACAAGTACAAGAAGAAGAAGAACGACCAGGCTATGTCCAGCGGAAAACTGGATGTGAGTGCAATATGTGTATGTGATGAAAGAAACACAGTATTAAAGTGTGTTGAATTAAATTGTTATATAAATATTGTAACAATGTAGATGTTTGTAGTGGGTAACGAATATATGGATTTGTTGATACACATTTTCACGCTGCTGGGTGATAAAGTTCCACCAAAATATACGTGTTTAATGTTTACCATTCATACATGTCTTTACTACTCATTTGTCACTTACACTATCTTGGACAGACATACAGACATGTATAATTCATTCCATTCACAAACTAGAAACCTACATCTGTAGTGTGGTGTAACATAATATGGTGACTAATAATGGTAAATATAACTATGACCAAATAAAAATAAAGGTATGTATTAAAACAAGGTAAATATAAATAGCAGAATATATAAATACAAAATATACAGTATGGGCAAAACAACAGTGCAAAAGGGCTTGGGCAATTAATATACTTGCACTGATCATTTTGCACTGTTGTTTCTGATTTTGATTTACTTATCGCTGATCAACCATGTTGTCTTTATTATTTTTAGGAGAGTGCAGAGGAACGCCCAGTGTCTGTGAATAAGCAGCGTTTGGGGGCAATGGGCGACCGTCCTGCCAGACCGTCCCTCATTGAGCAGGTCCTCAACCAAAAGAGGCTGGTAAGTTTATTAACGTGTTAATTACGTCTATTCAATTTGATGTGCAAATATTTGGTACCTCCAGTCTGTCTGGTTGGTATGCACAGATTTGGTCATCTCTTATTTTAGACACATTTTTATTTGTCACATGTCCTGGTGGAGCAGCTGCTATCATCACTGGGGATTTCTGTGGCTCCATGAAAATCCTAAAAGCAGCTGTCCCCTCAGCAGCATGAAACGTTTCTGGCAGTCCTCTGATCAATTGTTTCTTTAAAACAAATGTAGTGATTCTCAGCTGAGCTTGTGACTTCTATTAGCCTGTTTTTCAACAACAATTTTGGGACATGCCATTGAAAATCTAGTTCTAATCAAATTTTAATATGTATAATAAAATTGCATACTCTTGTAGCTCAAAGTCAGTTGCATGTGTTATTTGATGACTTTTCATACTTGGTGGTTATTAGTTTTCCCTCTGACCACCACCAGTCATAGACTTATAATGACACAAGGTGGGTGAAATATCTTGCCCAAAGACACAACACTAAAGCACGAAAGAAATGCTTGGTTGACTAAATCCAATACTTGTGCATCACTTAATCAACTAAAAGAATCTTGCACAAAAGTACTGTGTAGAGACCTATTAGTAAACAGAATCATTCATAAGGAAAAGATGAATTAAACTGTAGTTATCCCCACATCTCCATCAAACTCAGTCACTCCACACTTTCTCCTTTCTTGTCTATGTGTAGTTTTAATAAATTTAATGTCCATGTAATTATAATCAAATCATTTATCATCCAGGTTTTATAATCATCGACTGATTTATTGACTGATCCACTATAGTTGTCAGTGTATATTTTCCAGAACAAAGAATGGATTCTACCTGGACGATTGAGGGATTCTATACACATATTTTCCAGAACTTTTTATTGCAGGTGTAAAAGTGTACTCTGGCTCTAACATGTCCCTCTTGTGTTCTTAGTCCTTACTGAGGAGTCCGGAGGTGATCAGTTTCCTCCAGCAGCAGCAGCAGCTCCTGGCTGCTCAGAATCGCGCTCAGTCTCAGCAGCAATTTCCAGGCTGTTGACACCAGCCTTGGTCAGACATCACTGTAGCAACCGTCCCCTAGGAAACACTGAAGAAGGGATAGCAGAATATATGTGGAAAATTGTGCATCTGGGCAGAACTTGACAAATGAACTAATATCTTGAACTGGACAAGTAATCACGAAACCATCCAGCACTCTTACAAATGCCCAAAGCCTGTATTTATGTTGACTTTATGTGTTGTCATATAGTTAATGCAGTTTTCTTGTGTTTGTTTGTCTTTAGAAAAAGAGTGTGGGTGAAATAAAATTGCCCCAATTCTTGAATAATTCAAGAACTTTGGTGTTTTTAAATGTATTTTTATGAAGAAATTGTCAGAGTGACAATCAAATCAATGCATGTGTAGCATTGTTCCCACGTAATATGACATCCAAGTGGAGCTATCAGGAATTTTGAAGGGCCTTTAAGGATTTTTAAATTGTTAAAGAGAATGTGAAACAAACATGATTATTTATTCAAAAAGTTTTTAAAGGGTGTAAAAAGTTTTCAAAGCACATTGCTGTATGTGACTGAAATGTTTATACCTGTTAAGTGAACGCATCCCGTTCTGAAGTGAATGCAAATAATTAAAATGAGACATTGTGTTTCTACCTAATTGGTTCATTTTTATATAGGTCTGATTTTGTCATCATTTTGCTTTGGTACCAGTTGAAAATGAAGATATCCAAAGAAGCTAAACCCAGTCAAAGTATTGTTTTTTAAAGAAAATCATATTTAATAGAAGTAAAAATAATACATTACATCAACAAGCGTAAATAACAGAACACAGTAAAACAGTCCCAGCTACAGTAACGACATATTCAGTACCTAAAGTACCCGGTTTCAGTTGTTTTGGAGTGCAGCTTTTTGTGCCAATGGTAACAAGAGTAGACTTTGAAGTTATAAATATGCAGCTTTCATCTATGGAGTACTATAAATAGCAAAACTAAATGCACTTTCATGGTTGTACAGCAAAATGGGACAAAGCAGGTCAGCATTTTGAGATGTGTTGAAATGACAGTAGAACAGGAACAGTAGATGGTAAAACATCTGAACTGGCCCAAGTGCTTTTGTCTCATGAGACTGAGGAGATGGGGTTGTGAGGAGATCCCATCTGTGTTAGGACCTTATCCAGCCACTGAAGCGGCCCGTGCAGGTGGACCTCAATCCAGCAGGGGGTGCTAGTCACATCCTGTCTGTGGTACTCTGCTCCCCAGCCCTATAAGAAAAGCAACATGAATCTATAGTGGATGTTAACAGCTGAGGCCACTACTCAACTCTTACATAGATGAACAAGTGTAAGAATGGGCTATATCTAGGGATAATATTGTACATTGATCAAAAATGTGTATTTTTGTCAATGAAGATGCCCCAATATTGAAATATTCAATAACAATTAGCAACAACATACTTTCCAGTAGCAGAGATAGGAGTAATTTAGTAATGCATTACAGTGAAAACACTTATAATGAAATTACAGTTACAGAATACATAGTTATTTAGTTACCCATAGGCTTGACTTGTGCTGTTAAATAACCAGCTCAGAGGCAGAGAGAATTAGATTGTAGCACCATGGTGCAGATGTTACTCATTTCTTTTATTGGTGTGATGCCATTTGGGACAGTTTAAGCAACTCATTAGTTGTTTATCTCTATTTAATGTGTCTTTAATAAAACATAAAAGCACATATTCAATTCATTTATACAATACCACCGATAATATAATTCCAAAGTAATGTAAATAAGTAACTAAGTAGTGTAAAATATTACATGTTTAAGAAGCAATTAATAATGGATAACTAATTACTTTTTCAAACTGATTTCCCCAACACTGCCTAAGAGTGAGTCAAATTTGAAAGGCAGATTAGCAATGACTGCAAAAAGCTGAGATGTATGTACATGTGCATGTTTACACAATAATTCTAAAAAAACTCACCAAATTATACATTATCTGAGTTGAAAGTGCATCATGTAACTGTTCTGGTTCGCTACCTGCTTCTCTCGATGGAGATGTTATTGCTTTGCCTTCAAATTAGCCTCCACAGAGACATTACTGCACCTTTAAATCAAGTCTACTGAGGGAATAATTTGATAAAAAATCTTAAAACACACTTGTGCTTCCAAATAATTAGGTAACTTTCCTTTTTAGTGCATCTAATAAAAACATCCCTAAATCTCCCAACATGGTGGAAAAAAATATTTCTGGATGAATTGCAGTTACCTTGACGAAGCTCATGCGGATAGTACACATCTTGGTGAGTTCGTAGACCACCTCAAAGCCGTGGTTCACAGACTGGGCCAGGAGCTGAGCGAACAGCTGGTTATTGAAGATCTTGAGGCTGCAGCCACTGGGGATCTTACAGACTGTGGTGGCGTGGAAACCGTGCTGGAAGTTACAGTTTCTACTTTGGACAAAGATACTGCTGTCACTCAGGCACTCTGCATACACTTCACCCCCCACGTAGTAAAGATGCAGGCCTGAAAATGAAAAATAAGTCAAGTTATCAAGTCTTATTAAGAAAAACTTGTTTATTTGTCCACCATTCACACAGCAATTTTCATTTTCTTTACAGCAGATGCCCTTCCAGTTGCGACCACTGGGTAATTAGGCCGTTATCTAAACTTTGATTTGAATGGTTATGCTCAGGTCCTCGGGGAAAGGCTTAACCCCCAAAACTACTGCTGCACCACCATTCTTACTCTTAAATGAAGCATTAAAGGTGCTGTACCTGATTTTTACTGCCTTAAAAACATGAAAAATAGAACTACTTCATTTTAAATGGTTTGCAGTGGTACAAAGCTATTCCTTTCTGATTATTGGACAACAAAACACTTCATAATTAGATGCACAGCACTCAGACTTCTTTTGACCTCAAGAGTGGCTAATACAATATATTTATTCTAGGGCCTTTAAGTAGTTAACATAGTGCAAGTATTCTCAACCAGAAAAAACTGCAGTGCCAACAAAGTGAATATTATTTCTTGTACAGGAAAAACAAAACTTAATGCTATTGTTAATACTCCATTAAAAGACGTTTGAATAAGCACCATTGTGCTATAATAGAGGCCAGACTTGGCTTTTGTCCCATTGACTCTAGCCTTGATGTCACTGTTATCACACTGTACTGTTTACTGTCTGTGTCCAACAGAAGGTTCATATCTGCACTACAAAAGCATGGGATTGAATAAACATGACTTTGCCTCCCAAGAGTAACACGATTACTACTGTGTTGAGGGGTAAATGGTACACTATTTTTATCAATGTGTATTTCTTTCATGCTATACTGTAAATATCAGGTCTGCCCAAGTGTTTCTTATCATGTATTCTGTCTCAAAACATGTCCACATCAAGTACAGCAGGCGCCAGTCTCCCCCAGCTCAAGTGGTCTACAACAAGGGGAACCATATTTTACACATCGACAAAGGTATAAGCACTTAAGGTCCTGTATTACAAAACTGACTCTTGTGAGCTTTAAGCCATATTATTTTACTGCTATCTCATCAAAAATATATCTGGAGTTGTGTTTTTTCATTTACACATGTTTGAGTAACCCTTAATTATTAGTCTGTCTACATCTCTAAATGTCATATTCTCTGTTCCACCTTGTGATGTTATGTAATAGTTTTCAAGTTTACAGTTATATACCTGTACCTTTTGTTCAGTAGAGACTCATCATTCAGTGCTTAAATTATCCAAATTATTCTAGTGAAGGCGTAATGAGTTTAAAAACATTGTGGAGCACTATTTTTACATCACAAGGTGGAATAAAGTGTCTTAAATTTTAGAGAAGAACTCATCCTAAATATGCAGGGTTTGAGTGTACATGTGTGAATGAAACAAAACATAACTCCAGGAATGTTTGTGAAGATACAACATTATAATATAGCTCAGAATATAGAGTAATATTAAGTAAGTAATGTAGATCAATTTTTGCAAATTCAAACAGTCTCATGTAAATGTTTAATTGTGCATGCTACTATATACTACTATGACTTTTGAAAAACATCAAAAAGTGCTTCATTCTTACCTTTCCCAATATGGCGCCGCGTGTGTTCGATGGTGGAATTGCGGTTGACGTTGGACAGGAGCCCGAGGCAGAAGCGGTTCTTGTTGTTGGATGGGTCGGTGAATCCGTCCACCAAAACGCTGCGGGACGAGGCGTGGAACGTCTCCCCCACGCGGTTATTCAGCTCGTAATAGGCTATAGAGCACCAGTACTCCGGCTCCTCGTAACATACAGGCCGTAAATCTGCACAAGAGCGGAGTAGTGATTAGTCAGAAAACATTTACAGATATATAAATGAGAATTGTTGTTTTTCTAATAAAATAAGAATGTATTTTATATAATACAGTAAAACTTGGCCCGAGGTGAGGTGAAGAAATCTCAAGGTGACTTTGGACGGGGTCAGCTCGTAACATTGATCCAATTTTACAAGACCATAAACAGAGGCAAATAAATCTACAAAGAATTAATTTGCAAAGACAGTGAAGGTGAGTAATTTCGTAGTAGTGTTTTAAAAAGTTTAATCAGTTTAATGCAATAAAAACATGATTCCATTGCTCATTCATCAAATCTCAACACTCAACTTTAGTTTCAAATAAGTAAATGTAGAGGGAAATGTAGGTGTTTTTGTTTTTTTGCAAAAAATATTTTTTTCCCATCTTGAAATATTTCACTTTGTGTACTACTCAATGAATAAAATCCATGTTTAATTTTTTCTTATTTTTGTTTATATTTCATATATGACCTATACATTATATATCACTTTATATGTATATATTATTACATTTATTATATAAATTTATTATAAATTATATAAAATTAGTGGTTACCTCTGTGTGGAGCAGAAAATGTGAGTTTGGTGGTCTCTGGGGGCTTCACGTCCTCCTGTGGATTGGTCTCCATCATACTGTAGGGAGGGGGCGGAGTCTCTGCTAAAAACACATCAAAATATGTCTTTAGTTGTATTCAGTTTCTTCCACTGCAAGAAAAAGAATCTATCATTGGTTAAAATGGCTTGAATTCAGAATTATAACCTGTATTTGAATAGTTCTGACTGGAGATTTTATTGTTTATGTGAGATAAAACACATTCTCATAACATTTCTGCCAATTTAGTTTTGAGATATTTTTAGATTTAGTTTTTAGAAAATTATATTTACTCCACATTGCCAGTGGAGAAATTATATTTTTTTTACCCAAATTATTAAATTAAATTGTGTTTTCAATATTCGCTCAATATTCATTTGGGCAACTAGGACAACAAACAGAAATAAAAAGTAATGTACTGAAACAAGTCAGCCACATTTGAAAACAAGTGAAATTATCTAAGTGGTTCATCGCGTAAATACATTTTATAGTCAAAACAACAAGATTAAGATTAAAAGCCTGAACTGAAGTGATTTTAACTTATCTAGAAATTCATTTGTTGCAGTGAATAGACTCCTCTCCTACCTGCGATGTGATATGGGCTCCCGGGTTCCGCTGAGCTGCTGGGGGAGTTGGGGAAGCTCTGTGGGTTGGGCGACTGGGCGAGAGAGGACGAAGGGGAAGGGGAGGTGAACGAGGCACAGGGCAGAGGCGGGAAAGAGTCGGGGTAGGTGGCGTTTTG